CAGCCGAGGAATGCCTGCTCCATCCATACTTGCTCCTGGACCAGCCCTGTGTGCCCTCCCTTCTTCCATGCTCTTGGCAGAGCAGTGCTTCATCTGACCTCCCAAGATTAGAGCTTCTCTGGCTCCCATGGACCTACTCTCAATATGCCCCAAAACCTTGGGGTCTTTGGTGGAGGGTGCAGGCTTGCTGGTAGTCATGCCAAGGTGTGGTGCAGACTGGTGGGTACCGGCTCTGGGAGGCTGCCCATGGATGGAGCAGTAACATGATGTACCTGGAGTGCAGCAGGAGAGGACCAGATCTCTTGTGATGAGACATGCCCCGTCTGACAGCAGTGAGGAGCTCTATCAGGCTCTGGACATTTGGCTGCTTCTTGCTGCTCCAGAGTGTATATAGGAACTGTTGTACGTGCCTCTCCTTTGCCGCCTTCTCCTGGTGAGACACAAAGAATTGACATGGCTGTTGGGGAGGGATGGGTGAGTTTAGATGCAGAGGGGTGCCAGTCCTACAGTTCTTAGGCTATCAGCTGCTTTCCTGAGCTAACAGCTTCTGTAAAGCTGTCCAGGCAGTCTCTGCTAGGGCATTGCACATCACCTCCACAGTGGGTATGGTGCCTCTGGCAATCTGCTCTCCTTCCCCACTGCACCCCATCCCGTCCTTTGAGAGGGAGACTGAGAACTGTGTGGGTCTTCCCAAAGAAGGGCTGAAAGACCTATCAGTAAGGGGTAGGAGAAGGCCTCTCCCATGCATCTCCTATGTCCCCTCAGCAGATGTACTTCTGGATGTTGTAATTTAGATTTCCTCCTGCATTTGTGGGCTGCTGGCATTCTGCTCTAGCAGCTCACACAAGTCTCCATGGACCTTTGCCTTGCCCCTACAGACCTCTTTGCTAGCAATGAAGAACATCCCAGGCAGTGGGTTCCAGACCAGCCCTATCAACACATACGTGTTTCATTTTGAGCTGGATACACCTCCATCCGGAGACAAGCTTCTCTGTGCCACACTGGATGGTCAGCGTCTTTGTGCAGAGAGAGACTTCTCCCAGGGGCCAGCACACCTCATTTGGGACCTGTGAACAACAGCAAGTTTGGCTTCATGTTGATGGTTGTCATCTTTCACATCAGGGTTCTGTGACAGAGTTGGACCAAGAGCACCCCCAACATCATTCCATGTCAGCTCATCCCACATGTAAACCCTGGGGAAGTTTTGGAAACAACAGCAGATTGCAGCCAGCTTCTGTGTTAACACAGAGATACTTGGCAGTGGGAATCTGCTCAGCAAATGATTTTCACCTCGGCTGGTCAGAGGCAGGAACTGCTATCCATGGAGATGCAGCCTAAAGAGTACCAGCTGAATCCAGGGTCATGGACTGCACGGTGGGCAGACAGAACCTGTCTCCTGTGACAAGCTGTGGAAGCACTTTGACACAGGAAAGGTTCAGCTTTAGCTAAGCTGGATCTGTACCCAGTCTTCAGGAGGCAGTGAAAAAAGTTAAAATTTTGGAGCTATGCTAGCTTCCAACTCCATTAAACAGATCTCCGCTCTGCCATGGCACACACAGGCATGGCACCTTACCTCCCCCTTTTCCTGCCATGGGAGAAGTGTTAGGATGGTGTGAACATCCTGTTCCCACACCAGGGTCCAGAACTCCTCCATGGCCAACTTGTCGGGACCCTGGACAGCCAGATACTCCCTGTTGGAGCTGCAACCCTGGGTGAGGAATGAAAACGTCACTCTCCTGATGGAGATGGTGGCCCAGGTGACCAGTGGAGCAGTGCAGGAACCAGGCAGCAGGGGCATGGTGAGGAAGGGGGAGCATCACCTGCTGCCCATGAGACCCAGGCACAGGGGTGGGCACTGCTGATGAGGGTAAGACTCACCGGGACATGCCACACCTGCAGCAGACCGGAGAAAGGGCTCTGTTCCAGTAGGGAAAACTTCACTCTGGAGCGATCATCTGCAAAATATGTGGGAGGTGAAGGGATCCAGGGCAGCCTTGTGCTCACACAGCTCCTGCAGATGGACTGCCAGACTCCACACAGCCACACAAATACAACCCTCTATTCATTTCTCTGCAAAGGTGCTCCCCTCTGCAGTGCTCTTCTCCAGCTCATGGGTGTTGGTTCCCAAAAGACAGGTCTCTAGCCCAACTTCCTTCCCAAAGCAGGTATGTGTAGTGCAGGTTGCTCAGTGTCTTAGCCAATGAAGAGCTGCATACCTCAAAGGATGGAGAGCCTGCAGATGCTCTGGGGCCTTGTTCCAGTGTTTGATTTCCTTCATGGGAATTGAGTTTTCCTTACACTGAGTTGTATTACCTTTCCAAATCATTCCCATTGCCTCTTGTCCTTCCATGGTCTACCTTTGCGACTACTCTCTATTTTCTCTGTGCCTTCACAGAAGATAGCAATAAGATCTCTCCTTTGCCTTCTCTCCTCCAGGCTGGACAAACCCACCTAAGTCAGCCCCATACATCATGTGCTCCACTGCCATAACACCTCGGTAGCCTTCTCGTGGACACACTGCAGTGTGTCAAAATATTTTCTTGTACTGTGGAGCACCAGCCCTGGCCCAGCCTGGCTCCACGCAGGTACAGGAAGGAAAAGGACACAAGGTGTCACAGCACTTACACGGGAGGATGCTGGAAGAGGGACGTGACGGCTGGTTGCCTGAAGATGGTGTTGCAGAGCTGGCTTCTTCCTTGACAACCTCTAGGAAGGTCTGCCAGAGTAGAAGAGTGGAGGAAGCAGTGAGCAGGGAACGGTCAGGAGGAACAGGAGGAACTGGAGACTCCTGAGGACACGTGGGCTCATCAGAGGGGTGGTTATAGCTGCACTTGCAGAAGACCTAGCAGGGGTGCTCTGTCACCACCTGGGCTGCCAGGCCTCCTCCACACTGTCAGGAGATAGCTGCATCTCTCTAAGCAAATGGTGTTCAGGTAAGCCCCCACCCTGCACAGGGTCTGGGAAGGAGTGGGTCGTGGACAGATCCTGATCAGTGCAAGATGCAGGAGGGAGCTATGAGCCTGGGGATGCAATGACATGGAGAGGGGACACTGCCAGGATGTGGAAACTGGGGCATGGGACCCACTCAGGAGGCACTTACTGGGTGTCCCCCAGTCTGATCAAGTGCAATTGCTCCCTGGGTCTCCCCAGTGCATGTGGCTGTAACAGCACTCCCTGCACCACGCCTGTGACAGCTCTCACCTCGTACTCCCTCAAGAAGCCCGCATGGGACTTGGCTGCCTTCTGGGTGTAGTGCTGAACAAAGCTTTTCAGTGGAATGGGGCAGGACCTGGAGAGAGAAACTGGAGGTAAGGGGGAGGTCAGGCACTCAGCAGCATCCTGGCGGTGTCTGCAGTGGGTGGACAGGGCTGTGAGCAGACCTTCACTCCTCAAATGCTGGGGCCCAGCCCAGCTCTGACCAGACTCTCTCCCCTAGACTCAGGTGCTCTTTCCCAGGTGTGGCACAGCCCAGGGCCCATTCCCAAGATGCAGCAAGGACAAGGGCATCCTGTTCTGCAGGAGGGAGGAGACAATTTGACCATAAAGAAAGATATGTGACCTCCAGATGTATTCTCAGAGCCAACAAGCTAGGTGGGCAAAGCCATGCCCAGCCTGACCCTGCTCCCTCCTCTTGGCCTCTGTTAGCAGGGACATCTCAAGGCCACCCAGCTGCAATGAACCCCTCTAGTTTGAACTTATCTCTAGGGCATCCCTATGGATTGGGATGCTAGAGGCTGATCAAAATGCCTTCCTAGGACAGCTGAGCAGGTCTTTGACATTGACATAGCTTGGGAGACTGGCAATGGAGGAAAGGAGGATGTGGTCCCCCAAGCCCGCCCAGTGTACCCAGTGACTCACAGCTTCCCTGTCCTTCTGTCCTGGAGCCAGGGGGGGTCAGGGGATCAGCTTGCTGACTGAAGGTGTTGTGGATCAGGGTGAGCAGAGTGGCAGGAAAAACACAGCAGGCCCTTACCTCTCTGTCTCTGATAAACCCAGAAGTGGTTGCTCCAAGATCTTCTCCAGGATACAGCTGTGCAGGAAAACATACTGGGACTGGAAGGCAAAGGCAGACAGCAATGTAAAGTGCTGTACCACACAGACAGCATGAAAGGGTGGGTATGACAGTGCCTAGTGAGCAGAGGGTATCATACATTCATGCCCAAAAGGCCCTGGCTACTTCAGACTCAGAGCATCTGGATCCCCACTGTGTTTGTCTGGCTGTCCTGAAGGGTAGTACTGACACCTTGTCCCAGCCCTGAGTATTTGAAATATTAGATGAGCTGTGGGAGCATCACAGTCCAATGACATGGTGTGGGTTAAGAATTGCTTGCAAAGGGCCTAATCCTGTTCCTAGGTACTCTGGGGTGTTTCTCAGCCTCCTGGGAGGGCTCCAAGGCTCTGTATGTTGCTGCTGTAGGTCTAGCAGGACATGAAGCTAGTGAAGACCCCCATAGCCGAGCAATTTCCATTCCAGCTGAGATGCTGCTTTGAGCAGCACCATGACGCAGCGTCAGGTTGGGGACCAGCCTAGGGGTGCTGAGGCTGGCCGGAGAGTTCATCTGTCTGCCAGCCCTCTTAGCTTCTACACCATGGAGCAAGGGGCCTGGGGGAAGGGGAGCACGTGTCTTACCAGCGTCTGAATCATCAAGTATCGGTTCATCCGTAAGGCATAAACAACACCAAATGTATCCACCACCTTCTCCTGCTTCATCTGCTGCAGCAGCCAGTCCAGGGCAATGAAGGTGCCAGTGCGGCCCACCCCAGTGCTGAGAGCAGAGACAGACAGGGTCAAACACTGCCTGACCCCACAGCTGATACGCTCCCCTCCTGCTGCTAGGTATGGCTCCCAGATGCTGCACCCTGGGACACTGGTCCCATTGGCCCCAGCATGTGAGGCTGAGGAGCCACTCAGACTGTCCTGAGCTGTCGCTGACCATCTCCGGCTGCTGTGTCCCCTGGGACTGGGGCTGCAAGCAGACCTGTAATCCTCAATGCCCAAGCAGGATAGCCTACAGACCAGCTGTGTCTCCTGGGTACTTCTTTTCCTCCCCATTTGCATGAGTAGGACCCTAGTCTCCCATGCCCTCCCTCATCATCCCCCAGACCAGAGCCTTGCCTGCAGTGCACAAGGGTTGGCCCTGCATCCTTGGTGCTCTGGATGTGCTCCCGGACCAGCTCTCTGAAGGTCATAATGGAAGTTGTGGACTCCGGGATCCCATGGTCAGGCCATGCTGTGTAGTGCAAGTGGGACACATGCCGCTCTGCCCGGAGACCCTCCTGCCAGGAGGAATGCTGGTGATCAATGTGCAACCCACAGGGACAGGGGCTGCTTGCACCCCACAGCCCTGGGAGCACCCAGGGACTTGGGGACACCCAACTCATCTACAGCAAAGAACCAAAGACAGGTCTGCCGCACTGCCTAATGGCTCCTGCTCCTCTGTCCTCCCCATAGCCCCCTGCCATGGTAAGGCATGTGGAGGTGGTCGGGAGGAGACCTGTCTTTGACTGCTGGGAAACATGCCCCTCAAGCTGCAGGGGCGTGGAAAGGAGAGAGCAAGAATGGGCAGCAGGAGGAATACATGTTGGACAATTCTGTGTTCCCAAGTCTAAGTGACAGACTTCGGGGGACTGGGTCTTCTTTGAACCCCGCTAATGGCAGTGAAAGGAAATGATGCCACCACCACCAAGGAGAAATTCCACTGCATCCCATGGAAACCCCCAGCCCCTGAGAGGTGCCCAAGTCCTCCTGAGTCCTTACTCACATGCCACACTTTGAACTCGCGCATGGTCCACTCCTCAGAGCTGCTCTGCATCAGCAGGTGGACCTGGACCTGCCCGTAGGAGACTGGGGCAGATTCAGATGGCCAGTAATGATCACAGAGGACCTAGAGCACAGGCAGGATGGGGTGCCAGTGAGGCTGGTGATGGCCCAGGCCCCACTGGGTGACCTCGCAGCTCCCTGTGTGCATCTGGGGAGCAGCAGCTGTGCGGGGAGCCAGGGCAGGTCTTGGGACAGGGGTGCTGCCTCTTCCCACCAGAAGCTTTGCATGGCTCTCCCCAACCTCCCCGTTATTTGGATCTCAGCCTCCTCTAGAGAAAAGGACCTGTGTGGGTCTCATCATCCCTGGAGACTGGAGGAACAGTCCATGTGAGATGTCTCATTCAGTGGCAAGTGGTAATTTCAGATGCTGCAGAAATATCTGAGAGTGATGGGCATGGTTCCAGCTAAGCTCCACTTCTGCCCCTTCCTCCCCCAGGCTAACACTGAGCTGCACACAACAGCCTCTCTTCACCCCCAGGACTGCCTGTCGAGGAAGCTGTGTAGCCCGTGCTCACAGCTGAGCCACACCTGAGCAGGGATTGTCAGAGGGCACAAACCCAGCCCTGGACTCAGCTCACATGGCCAGGCCTGGGCTTGGCTGGGGCGGACACAGGGGAGCCCGGCTGTGCTAACCTACCCGCCCATTCTCCATGCACACTGTCAGCATGACGATGTTGCAGACGTGCTGCTCCCACACCAGCCTCCAGAAGTCCTCTATCGTTCTCTTCAGGGGCCCCTGGGTGGCAATGAACTCCCGCTGGGATGTGTAGCCCTGAGCAAGAAGCAGAGAGGAGGAATTGGCAAGTTGCAAGGCAGATGGATTCTCCCCTGGGACAGTCAGCGCCTGGTCTGCTTTTGCAGTAGAGGGGGAAATTCCTGTTGCCCTTAGCCCATGCAAGGCACATGTCCCAGGCAGCTGATCTCAGAAACAGCTGATTTCACAAAAAGCATGCATTGCCCAGCACTGTGCTCTCTACGTATCTGGAATAAAGGTGTGATCATCTTTGGAACAGAGGTATGTGATTACCCTCCAAGCAGTTCCTCATTCAGCCTAACCAGGGAAAGGCAAATCTGGGTCTTCCTTGTGTTCCCCAGTCATTGCTGAAGTGAGCATGCAAGGTCTCAGGATGCTTTTTTGCCTTTGCCCCTTTGACACACATATGCCCCGTGGATCCACACACCCATGCTTGCATGCTGTGTGCCCTGCCTGTTACCTGGGAAAATATCCTGGATGGGGGATGTGGGCACAGCTCCGGGGTTGTTCAAATGCAGCTGCACAGACCAGAAGGAGAAAGAGCAGGCAGACAGGTAGAGCAGTAAGCAGGGAGATGATGGGAAGAGGATAGTCCTCAAGAGGAAAGCAGAAAGCCTTGCCAATCTCCCCACACTCACACCTCTGCATTCACAGCATTTGCCATCTGATGATCTTCATCAACCCTTGCTAAAGGGCAACCAGCATCTCTGCCTGACCCCCATCTCCTTGCCAGTCTGTGCCAGCTGTGGCTTCAGTGGCAGCCCTTGCCCACCAGCCCTCACCACCTCAATCCAGGCAGTTTCTCTGACGATGCCACATGGACAAGTCTCTGTGGGGACGGCAACTGGTCACTCACAGGCATGAAATTGGCATTGATGTAGTCCGAGTGTGGATCCTCGCCCAGCTGGCTCAGCTTGACCCGAGAGTGATCATCTGAAAGAGACCATACACACGTGACCCCCGCCAAGGCAGCCCTTCAGCAAGATATGGGCATGTACTCTTCACCTGGGTAACAGATCAGGAGAGGCCCCAGCAGCTCCATGTACGCAGCCAGCAGTGAGGCTCTGTGCTTGGCCAGGAACCTTCTCCCTGGAGAAGTAAGCATTGCCTGCCAGCTGGGTTAGTGGGGGGGGGTAAGAAAGCAGAGCTGGCATCATGAGGCTTATCAGAGAAGACTTGGGACGCTCATGGTCCCTCTCTGGTCTCCAGCTGGGACCCATGCCTGAGCGGGGCTCACCCAACACCTGCCCAGCAGCCTCCTGGAGGGGCTGAGGAGGATGGTGGCTCAGCACTGGCTCAACCCTTAAGCCTTGAGTGTCCAGCAGGAAAAAGGAAATGGAGGCCCCTATCAAGACTCTTTCTTCTCCCAGGAGAGGAGCCAGGCACTGTGAAGCCTGCAGTGATCCAGGGTGAGCCCGTCCCTGTGCACTGCAGTGTGAGCATCCCACCCTGGATGCTGGGCAGAGGAGGGAGGAGACAGCACTTACATGACAACACATGGGGATATCTGTTCTTGGAGACATTCGCTGGTAGCTCAGCCTCCACCTTCGGCTGCTCCTTCCCAACTTCCTTCAGCTCCTGTAGGACAGGGGAGAAGATAAGGATAAATGTCTGGAGAGCTCCTGGCCAACCCAGATGCCTGCTCATGGCCAACAGCCCTGTCTGCTGGATCAAGAGGGTCACCCATCCACAGGGAACTGCTCTACTTCTCCCTCAGTATGGCCTGTGAACTCGGAGTTATAGATGGCTTTTCCCAGTGCCTTTTCCAACAGCACTGTTTGTATTTAAAACAAGCCCAAGAACAAGTACTGGGCAGAAAAAAACCTTCTCAGAAATCAGAAATCTACCAAGAAGCTCAGGTCATTTTGTGCTCTGAAAAGAAAAATATCCTGTGCTGCTTTTGCCTCTGTCCTCACTCAGAAGGCCAGGGAAGGGAGATCTGAGGAGGGTTTGAAATGGCTGATGGGACTTTCAAAGGTGCGTGTAGCAGAACAATTCAGAGCCTCCAGACATCGGCAGTGGGAGAGAGTGATGTGAATGTCACAGCCTGGCCCTATATCTCCGAGCATGTTCCTTGATCTTCCTTTTGGCTGCAGGCTCTTTTCTAACACTCTCAAGGTGGATCTCATTGCAAAACCACTCAGCATCTTCACCTCCAGTCCAGGCCTGGGGCCCTTAGCTTTGTCCATCAGCAGGTATGGACGAAGCTAGTTCACCTCACACCACACACGTTTCTACCAGAATTTGTGCAAAATATGTTTTGAGCAAAGGAATTGCCCGGTAACTTGATCCATCCAATTTTTGGCCTCCAAGACTGCCTAGTAGGGTGGTTGGATTGCCAGAGAGGTAAGTTACTGTCCCTGGAGATGAGAGGTCCGTACAGGCCACCCAATAGCTGAGGCATGAGCTACCTAGAGGGGAAATTGTCTCATCTCTAGCAGGAGTCTCATCTCACCTCAAACTCCTGGAAAAAAGCATGGTTAGCACTTGCTGTCTTCATCTCATAGTACTGCTTGAAGTTCTGTATGGGAACTGGCCGATGGATGTTTCTGCATGAAATGAAGTCCAGAGGAAAACTTGCCTTAGGTACTGGGAGGTCTGACAGGCCAGTCAGGTGGCCAATGAGACAGCCCAGCCTTGAGACCTACAGTACCTGGATGCACACACACAGGGATAGTTTATAGCCCACGTCATTGCCCAGGGAGAGCAGTGTTTAAATACTGGGAGGGATTTCAGGATGATGGAGATATTCTCCTACTGCAGAAGCCTTGCAGAGGAGGTGTGCACAATGCATTGACGTGGAATGGAGCTGGACAATAAATACTGAACATGGCAAAGACTAAGATTTTAAAAATAACTGAAGGAGAGGAGACAGAGTTGGATTTTTCCTGAGTCAAAGCATGAGAAAGTAAGTAGGTGAAGGACTCTGGGGCCTGCAGTGTGGACATGCAGAGAGAGGGAAGACTTCAGCACTCACCTCAAGCTGTAGGTCACCATTTCCTGGGGCAGGCTACTCTTCTTAGTTCTAGAATTAAAGCATGGAGATGTTACTCTTCTCTGCAGTGCAGGGCCAGGTGCTGTGAGCATATTATGTACTGCTGGCTCATGGAGCACTTGTAAGCAGACAGCTCACATCAGCCACGTTGCCTTGCACATGTGTAGGTGCTGTGAATTAACTGCACATGGGCAGATCCCCTTTCCTCTCCATTTTTTGCTTCTGTGATTGACAGGCATAACTTTGGTAGCAGGTGTCCTAGTTTTCCTAAATCTCTTTTTATACCCGCACTGCTCTTCCTCCTGGCCTGGCACTGAAGGTTGGGTTTCTCAGCCTGCACCCACTGGGTAAGAGATGGCTCATCCTCACCTCTTTGATCTGAGCTGTTTCCAGTAGACCAAAGCAAAAATAGCTGCAAGTATCAAGAGAAATCCCACAATGATTCCAGCAATTACTGGCATTGAGAGTGGAGTTGCATCTACACTGGTTCCAGCAGCTGTAATAAAGAGAACAGACAGATGTAAGAGTCAATAAATAGCTGCATTTACTTTATTTATCATATTTGCTACAGCCTATGATCTCCCTCTGGCTTGCCATTGTCAGGTTGTTTATTATCTCTCACCTACAGAGCCAGGCAGGGAAGATGGCATTCTCCATCTTACCTGAGAACGTGGTGAACGTCACTGTAGGTGCTACTGGGTCGTATTTGGTGAAGGCAGCGATGCTGAACCTAGGGCAAAGCAAAGTCCTGCCATCAGGTGCAGTCTGAACTGGGCACCTACAGAGCCAGCAGTGGGAGGACCCAAGGGAACAGGAGAGCTGCTTCTCTTCTGAAATGCTGTATTGGAAAAAGCTGGTTTTCTGGTAGGGTTTTCTGGTAGGGATTTAGGGAATGTATGGAAATGGTCTTTCCTCACCTTTCTGCCCCTCAGACAAGTTTGCTGCACTTCGAAAAACAGGAGAAAATGTTCAGAAAGCACAAATGGGATACAGCTCTCTTCTGAAGGGTCATTTGCAAAGACAAGGAGCAAGTTTCTGCTCTCTTATAGGACACAAATAGGGCAAGACAACAGTAAGTAGGGAAAATCAAGTTGTGTTGAGTCATTCTCATAGTTCATGTCAACCCATTAATTGGGTTGACATGAACTATGGTGGTGGCTGGTGCATTTATGAAGTGGCTGGTGCATCTTTTTCCCTGTGGAGATTTGCCCTACATCCTCCTGCAAGCAGTGTGCACACCATGCCTCACAGCTTCCTGCAGAGCTGGATACCTTCTGAGCAGGTAACTTGAAAGGGTAGGCCTTCTTGTGTCCTAAATGCAAGCTAAGACTTCCAAACATAGCTTTGTATTTTAGTGACCAAAAGTTTGCAGAGCCTAATGTGAGTCCTCCATGGCAGCACCCTGGACCCGGCTGTCAGGGCAAAGAACCATTTGGAAACTGAGCCTGCAAATACCATGGTATGCTGGGTTTAGTCAGGAAAGAGTTAACTTTCTTCACAGTGGCTGGTATGAAGCTTTGCTCCTAGATTTAAGCTGAGAAAAGTACTGATAAGGTGTCTTTTTAGCCAGTGCTGGGGAGTGCCTGCACCCAATTCAGTGCATTTCTCAGCTTCTGATACGGCAGCTGCGTTCCCAACTTTCCCACTACAGGCAGTGTGGGGGGACACACAGTTCAGACAGACAGCCGACCACAGGGGTGTTTCATCCCGTATAGCACGTCATGCTCTGTACGTAAGCGAGGAGTGGGCTCGGGGGCCATCACACACTTCCACTTTCTCACTCTCTGCCTCTTCACTTGCTAACAAACAGCATCATAATTAAAGCATATGATACAATATGATACATTTTCTATTACTTTTATTATTAGTATTATTTGTACATATTAATTTATTTTCAATTAATAAATAGTTCTTAACTCAGTTTTATGAGCTTCCTTGTCTTTTTCCCCTGATTCTTCCCCTCCACTAGAGAAGGAGAGGGGGTAACTGTGAGCGCGGCTTTGTGGCATTTTGTTAGTCAGAGTTAAACCACGACACATGGCATGGGAGATAAGGGCGTGTGGATAAGTATTATTTGTACATATTAATTTATTTTCAATTAATAAATAGTTCTTAACTCAGTTTTATGAGCTTCCTTGTCTTTTTCCCCTGATTCTTCCCCTCCACTAGAGAAGGAGAGGGGGTAACTGTGAGCGCGGCTTTGTGGCATTTTGTTAGTCAGAGTTAAACCACGACACATGGCATGGGAGATAAGGGCGTGTGGATAAATAACTCACTGAAAGTAGGAAACTAGATCTGGCTGTCAGAGTGGACATGGACTGTCAGCAGTATCTGCTTTTCACCACGCTACTAATGATTAACTAGCCAAGCAGCACAGTACTGAGGATACATGTTGCTTGGGGCAGCCCCAATGAAAGCAAGCTGTGAAGAGGTGCAAAGGGATTTTCTAATACTGAGTAATTGGACAGTTAAGTACACGCTACTGAATCACGACTGGTGGACTAATGACAGTCTAATGGCATTGAATTAGCTGCTACCCTGTGGGAGGTCAGTGTTGGAGTGAAAATAGCAGCTGGGAAGTAGAGAGGGCAGGTATACACTCTCAGTATTTGGGGCATGGAGGTGTAACCCAGTGTGTCTGCGCTGTTGTTAAACACCCCTCAAGGTTGCCAGCAGGTCTGGGTCTGAGCCAACGTGTTGTAATGCAGGTCCAGCTTGTTCCCAAGCTGTCTCCTGCCCTAGCTGTGCTGGCTGGAGCAGAAGGCCAGATCTGGGGCTGCTGGGGTTAAGCAGTAAGGTTCACCCTGCCACGCTGGAGGGTGAATGGGGCAGGAGCCATTAGCAATAAAGAATAGATGATGGGCTTGGTGAGCAGTCTCCCAAACCTTCTGAATCAACTGGAGACTCTCCCGAGCCAGCCCAGGGATCACAGCACCTGTGTGGTGGACATGGCATGGGAATGCATCATCATGCAGTTCTCCTGCCCAGCAAGATAATACATACCTAGGGAGAGTCCAAAGAGCTGTTTCCTGATCCTACTCTGGGTGAGATTTCCAAGGGAATGGGTCTCTGGAAGTTTCCTTTTTTTTCCAAGGAGAAGCAGTCATTTCTCACTACCCTGACGCAGCCCAGTGTTAATCCCGATCTCTATTCTCTGCCAGTGCTGCCCCAACAGCAGCTGGAGTTAAGCGCCTCTCTCTGGCAATGTGTAACTCTGAAATGACTCTGTAAGAATCAATTTAAGTTTTCATGTAAGCGCAGAGTCTGCACATAGCAAAAGTAGAGAGTGAGAAGCAGAAAAGAGAAAGCAGAGCCAGCAGGTCCAAACCCAACACCAGGGACCTTGACTCCACTCACCACAAAGCTTAAGGGCGGATCTAATTCTCACTTTACTCATAGGAGATAGATAGATAGATATATCATGCACACGCTCTCTCACGGTCTTTCTCTTTCCCCAGCACTCAGCGACTTCTATCACTAGCCAGACATCCATGCTGCAAGTTTCTTCAAACTGAAATGGGACAACCTTCCAGATGCTGGGGGATCCATGATTGATCTAAGTGTAAGCTGCTAAATTAAGAGAACTGACTAAAGATATGATTCTTTGTTTGTAGTAGAAAACCTGTTTCACCATAAACTATTTCAAAGGTACTCTATAAAGTACATGCATGTACATTCATGTTCCTGGATTTACTGTCAAATAAGACTCTGAATTTATGAATATTGTGATCTGTGTATGTGTCTCATAGGGAACTTGAACCTTAGCCTTGTGCGTTTGCTACGCTAAACTTAGGAGCCCTCAGTTGTGTAGGCACCCCTTGAACTAATATTTATGACTCAGTTTCGTTCTACATTCTCAAAACCTGCATATGGCTCTGAGTCACATGCAAAAGTCCTACAAGTAACATCATCCATTTTAGTTCTTATCCTGGAGGTGGACAACTGGCCAGCTCCCAAGGCAACACATACAGCCCTGGTCAGCCTCAGCTTTCACTTCTGTTCTCCCTCTCCCCGCCCTTTTACAATGCCTAATATTCTCTGGTATACCAGTCCTTCCATCCCTCAAGCACTGCTTGGTGGAGCAACCCTAGGGAGTCTGGGGACTAGGTGGGTGAGGTGACATCCAGTGAGCTGGTGGCACCATGCAGGGACATGTGCAGTTCCTTTTCTCCTCCAGCCTTTTTTGTTGGCATCTCTCACCTGTACTGCTTGTTGGCTTTCAGCTTCCCATTGCATGTTGCCCTGGATTGGCCGCACTCCTCTGTTCCCACTGTCACTCTCCAGGTTTTGGGGAAGCTCCTGGGGCTTGCATGGAAGGGACTGGGGATTAGCACAGCCAGGTAGGAGTCCTCTGTTCCATAATAGTGGTCATACCAAGTGCTGGACATGATTTGCTGGGTGGGCCTCAGCACTGAAGGGGAATGTACAAGATCACAGTTCCAAAGTGACATCCACGGGACCTGCTGCCCTCCAGGGAGCCACTGCAAATCCGGATGTGCTGGGGCACTTACATGAATCATTAGTGGTAGCAATGACACCGTAATACTCGATCTGGCCATTCTCCTCGCTGAACAGGTCGGATGAAATGATAACTGTGGAGCTGGCCTCCACCTGGAAAATGTCTGCTCGCAGGGGTGGAGGCAGGGCTGGAAGAGGAACCAGCAAGCACAGCCTGTTAGTGTGTCCCTGCTCCCACAGACTGACCACACACTGCTCAGCCTGTGACTGGTCCCAACATCACTGCACACAGCCCTGACCCACTGGAGTTCAGTGCAGGACCACATGGAGCTCACAGGCATCTGAAAGAGTCCCCAGGTCTAATTAGCAACATTTGGTGTCTTCCCCGGGGGTCTGTGGCAAGGCTGTGGGATAGAAAGGGACTCACCCTCCACTGTTGTGTTGCAGAGCAGAGTCACAGCCTGGCTTCTCATGGTGTTCATGCCCACTGTGCTCACAATGATTCGGTAGGACGAATTTGGCTCCAGCCCCTCCAGACTGGCCCCGTTCGTAGGGATGCTCATGACATACTTGGAGGTGGGACGTCCATCAGAAAGTCCCTCTGTTACCACCTCATAAGCCTCCACATCTCCAGGAGAGGTGGTCCAGTTCAAGTAAAGACTCCTTGACTCCGATAGGCACTGCACATCCTCCACTGGGTCTGGCTCTGTAAAGGACGGAATCATAGAATGGTCTGAGGACCTTAAAGATCATCTAGTTCCAACCCCTTGCCATGGACAAGGACGCTTTCTACTAGACCACTTTGCTCAAGGCCCCATCAACCCTTGAACTCTTCCAGGGATGGGGCATCCACAGCTTCTCTGGGCAACCTGTCCCAGTGCCTCACCACCACGTGAGGAATTTCTTCCCGATACCCATTCTAAATCTACCCTTTTTCAGTTTAAAGCCCTTAACCCTTGTTCTATCACTACAGGCCCTTGTAAAAAAGTCCCTCTCCAGCCTTCTTGTAGGCCCCTTTCAGGTACTGAAAGGTTGCTATAAGGTCTCCCTGGAGTCGCCTTTTGGATATGGCAGGCTCTTAACTTACTGGATCAGAGAAATCCCAACCTCAGCCCATGTGTCAGCCCAGAGCCATTATGGTTCTCTACTGCCTGTCCCTATGACTGTGAGAGAGGAGCAGAGCTGGACTTCTGTGACCTGGGAGCCTTCTGTGCCAAGGGCTGCAGGACAAGGAGAATGGGTCAGGGCCTGAGCAGATGTGTTATAGGAGAAGCAGACCAATGGAGATCTCTGCAGAGGCCGCTTTGCTTCACAGGTAGCCAGGCCATGAGGTCATGGGAAATCTCTGTGATGCTGGTAGCTTAGGGAGATGATGGCTACCAGAGGGTCACCTTGCCATCCTTGTCTTCCACCAGAGAGACTTGCCATGCTTTTGTTGACACTCAATGGCTGATCCAGTCTCAAGGCCACCCAGGTGTTTCTCCCCTTCCCAGCCTGCACTCCCCCAGTTCCCATGGCAGTGCATACCCACCCACTGGCACTGCCAAGGGTTTGCTGCTGCTCCAGTAGGGCCCAGACACGCAGTTCAAGGAGACAGAGTAATTCCTCCCTGGGATCAGCCCATGGAGAAGGTGCTGGACTTGCCCTCTGGTGAGGGCGTACCGCCAGGGCTGCATGCTGTTCCTAGGGTCCCGTAGCCACAGCTGGCAGTCGTCATGCTGTCCAGAGACACTGTCCCAGGAGATGAGCATCGTGTTGTTCCCTTCAGGCACCGCAAAGAGATTTTTGGGAACTGAGGGGGCTACAATAAAAACCACACCAGGGGAGAGTTACTGGCATGCATGTACTCTCTTCCATCCAGCAGAGACACTTACACTATATATAAGTAGAAGATGGGTAATATACAAGAAAATTTCATATGTTCAGTGATAACATTTCTTCAGCTTCTGGATGCCACTAGAAGAAATGACTTCTAAATGGCAATTGGAGGACATGCAGAGTGAGTAGCATAAGGAAACGGGTTCTTCTTTCTGCTAATTAGAAAATTTCATTAAAGATCTGCCTGAAGGGCTCTGCATGTGACTCCCAGCACCCTGCCAGGGTTTGGCTGAGCATGGAAGCAGAGACCTCTGGATTCCCCAAGCAAAGTGGAGGGACTGTGGGGACAAGCACATGAAAAGGCTTATTGTGCTTATCTGCAATTTCCACATTCCTTAAAAAAAACCAAAACAAAAAAAAAAACCCCACAAAAAAACCCCAATCCAGCCTTCCCTTATCCCCCATACCACAAATTTTCTGAGTGCCTGGGAAGAAGGCAGGGGAGGTGGTGACATGTCCCCCCATGGCTGTAAGGCCTCATGGTCTCACAGGCTGTGGGTGTCCTCTACCAGAGTAGCACTACTGCCATGGGATCACTTGCTCTTGTGCAGTCACCCATGCCTGGAGGAGCCAATTTGTGTGAACAGTGGGGCTACAAGTTGGAGGTCTGTCTCCTGAAATAGCAACCACGGCTGTCAGACTGTCCTATGGGCAGCAGTATTGCCCCCTCCACTGGGGGCTTGCACAGCCCATGATTCTATTGCTATGGTGGTACTTACAGCTCCCAAGCAGTCCTAGCCCCGTCCCTGTCCCTTCCCACCACAGGTGCTGAGCCTACCCTCATGCATGATGCAAGGATCTCCAGTTCTTGGCACTTACTAGTCCAGTCACTGATGTTCCCTGCGGAGGCTGCGTAGGGCCCTGCCACGGACACCACTTCCAGCAGGTATTTGTGTCCTGAATCCAGGCCAGAAAAGATGAATTTGCTGTTGCCTTTCCCAACAGATACATTGGCTGCCACAATACCTGATCCCGAATGATACAGGAGGAGCCTGTAACTGTCTTGTCCTTGGGGTTCGGCTTGCCAGAACACACTCAGCCTGTTGGGATACCCCTGGTTCGTCATGTACACATTACGGGGTGCCAGTGGGTCTGGAGACAGAATCACAGAATCACTAAGGTTGGAAAAGACCTATAAGATCATCCACCCCCAGGTCCTTTTCTGCCTGACAGCTTTCCAGCCACTAACACAGGATGGGAGACATGTTAGTAAAGGGTCTGAGGACATTTCCTGGGTATCTTGGCAGTGTCATCAGTAAGGGTGTACCATACAGGACAGGACACTGTCTTGGCTGGATGGCTGCACCCACCAGCCTAGAGGCAGCTAAAAGCAGCTTCTGTAAGCTTCAAGTTGTGCCTGTATGAGCAGACAGCCCTGTCCCAGCTGGGGTGACATGCCCAGACATGGTTGATGAAGAAGCATCCAGCCAGCTGGAGGGGAGGGGAAGGTGAATGTCCCTGTTTGCTGATCCCTTCTCTGTGCCTCTCCTCTGAAGCACAGCCCACAGAGCTTCAGCTGGACTCATCCAGGCTGATGGTGAGGGTAGGCAGAATCCTGCTCAGTGCCATGGCACTGACATGTCCTTGGGTTCAGACAGGGCTCAGGTTCTGCCATGAAGATTAGTGGTGCCATGTCCTTTGCCATGAGCTCTCGTAAGTGCACAGCAAGGCATGCATCGCCCTAAAAACAGGGTACTCACACGTCCAGTTGCTGACATTTGCTGCAGGTGTCTGGTAGGACCCTGCCATGGACACCACTTCCAGCACATACTTGCTTCCTGGGGCCAGGCCCATGAAGGTGAAGTTGTGGGTGTCTCTTCCAAGCGAGGTCATAGCTGCCACAGTGCCCAGCTGTGTGTGGTACAGGGTCAGTGTGTAGCCGTCTCTCCCGCCGGCTGCAGGTCCCCAGGATGCGCTCAGCCTGTCAGGGTACCCCATGCTCAGCAAGCGCACGGTGGCTGGGGACAATGGGCCTGCGGAGTCACCAGACTGATGTTAGGGACTGGAGACCGTACAGAAGGAAACAGACACTTGATGGGACATTGTGCCACAGGACAGAGGCTCCCTGGGGTCTGGGACTTGTAGTCCCCCTCTGACACAATCCTCCTCCTCACTTTTCTCTTTTCCATCCCTATCCCACCTCATGTCTAATGCTGCTCAACCCCTGTGGTCTCTCACATGTAAACCTTTCTTCACCAAGTCACCTTCATCCCCATTGCCCAGATGCACTGCTGTGTGCAGGTGTCCTCCAGCACCCAGCTGGCTTGCAGCTGCCTGGGCAGAGCTGGCACAGCATCTATACTCTGTCCAGCCTTAAAATCATTCTGGATGGGGAGAAACGCTGGACTGGTCCATCTCCAGAGCAAAGACCCATTCTCCTGGGAGTAATGTGGTTTAGCATCTTGTAATAACACTGATTCTTACATGGGCCTTTATGGTAAAGTGTCTTCTACCAGCTGGAGGAGACTCGGTGTGTGAGTGCTCCTGTATAAAGGGAGCTGGGGCATCACAGGCAGGGGGATGCCTCCATGCAGGCACAGCTGGGCAACATACATGTCGTCAGCATGTACTTGTGCAAGTCTACAGCTGAACATCCATATGCCTGTGACAGTAACAGTGTGCCCCTGCACTGACTGCTGTGTGTTGTGCACATCTCCAAAGGCACTAGGTCCCCTGTAAACCTCCCAGCCCTCCACAGGACTGCCCATGACTCCAACATCCCCCACCCCTCTGCAGGGAACACTCCTCCAGGCACTTACGTGTCCAGCCACTGATGTTGGGCGCTGCTGCCTGGTATGGTCCAGCCATGGCACTGGCTTCCAGGGAGTACTCATATCCTGGGGCCAGGCCCATGAAGGTGAAATTGTGGGTGTCTCTCCCTAGTGAGGCTGTAGCTGCCACGGTGCCAAGCCGCACATGGTACAGGGTCAGTGTGTAGCCATCTCGGTCCCCAGCTGCAGCTCCCCAGGATGTGCTTAGCCTGTCAGTGTGCCCCATGCTCAGCCAGTGCACAGAAGCTGGGGGCAGTGGGCCTGGGGAGGAAACACAAGTCACTGCCAGGAGCCACATCTTGGCTGAGGGGAAGGAGGGGCTCCATGTCTGTGCTAAGCCTGTGCTGCAGGACAACCCTGCAAGGTCCTGGGGGACTCCATAGCAGCTGCCCCCTCCCTGGTGCTGTCTGAGCCTGTGGGTGGCTGTGGATGGCTACCACGGACATGGAAGACTAGGCCACAGGGTCATGCACAGGCCCCCCGTACTGCATCCAGCAGGGCATGAGTACTGGGCACTTGTGTAGGTGGGAGAGGAAAGCAGGATCTTGCTGCACCAGTATGGCCTCTAATCTGAACCAGGAAGGGGGAGATCTGGTGGAGGACATGCGGCTGCAAGGAAAGCATCATACTCACGTGTGTAGTGGGTGAGGTTCGGGGTGCTGGTGTGGAAGGCCCCAGCTGTGGCCCTCACTGCCACACTGTACCGGGTGCCAGGGCTCAGGTTCCTGAAGATGTGATTCCTGGCATCCCCACCCAGCAGCACGTGCCCAACATGACTGCTGGAGGCTGTGTCATAGACATCCACCACGTAGCCTTCTGCACCTTGCCCCGCTGCTGCCCAGGAGGCCTGCAGTGTGAAGGCAGAGGGGCTGCCCAGGGTGAGGTTGGCAGGGGCCAAGGGATCTGGAAAGCAAGAGGGAGTCAGTCAGCTTCTGCGTGCCACCACTCCCTGCTCAGTGATATCAGCCAGCTGCTTGGCCCAGTGGTCCCTTGTGCTCTGGCAGTGCTGGACTCCAGCCCCCACTCCCACTGGATAGTGGGCAGGCTGGCCACCAGAGATCCTCCCAGGGAGACCTGTGGGAACACATGGGAAGACAGTGCACATGGCTCTGAGCACAACATCCCCAGGGTTTGCAGCTGGACAGAGCAGGGGAGGTAGCCAGAGCCTCTGAGGCAGCTAGGAGAGATTCCTCCGTGTCAGGGAAGGAGTAAGGACAGTGGGCAGAAAAGTGGGATAACTATATAGAAACTAGGGGCACAGCAGAAAGTTTGGGATGGGGAAGGTGGCAGTGGGTGCTCTGCAAGGCTCAGATAACGTCTCTGGGGCACAGTGACCAACCCAACCCATCAGACTCACATGTCCATTGGGTGACATTGGTGGAGGAGGCTTTGAACAAGCCTTTCACAGCAGTGACCTGCCCAGCAAACCTGCTGCCTGCCTCCAACTGAGTCCAGGTGATGTTCTGGGCATCTGGACTCAAGGTCTGGACCCGATCCTTGCTCTGAGTGCTGAGGCTATACAGAGTAACGTGGTAGTGGTCCCTCCTGCCAGGGGGCTTGTTCCAGCACATGTAAAGCTCTGAGGAGCTGCCTGGGTTGGTAAGGCTCAGGTTTGTTGGTGCAGCAGGAACTGTGAGGAAAGAGAGACACGAGTCAGAGAAAAAAATATCCAGTTCTGAACATGCAGTGGTCTCCAGGGAACAGTCTTGCTTTCCCCAGGCAGCCAGCAGCAACTGGCCAGCAAGCGCTCTGTACCCACAGGGAACAAGGCTGCAAGAAGCAGGAGATGACTGCAGGCCAGCATCACCAGGAACCAGGCCAGGGTGCCCTCCTCTCTTCCTTTGTGCCAACATGGATCCCCCTCCCATTCAGGAGCTCCTCGTAGTACTCCCACCGAAATCACCCATGGGTGGTATGGATGCTCACCTGTGCAGCTAGTGACGTTCTTGGGGAGGGAGCGGTAGGGTCCAGCTACTGCCCAGATCTCAACAAGGTAGCAAGTTCCTGGTTCCAGCTGTGCCAGGGTGACATTGGTGCTGTCCTTCCCTGCTTCCAGGTTCCTTGCTGGTGCAGAAGAGCCTTCCTCACGCATGCTGAGCAGGTATCCATTCCTCTGCCCAGGAGGGGTCTCCCAGTGCACAGCCAGAGCCCAGGGAGTGCTGGCAGGGCTTGCCAACAGGGAAAGGGGAGGTAGCGGGGCTGTGGGAGAGAAAGAGCATTACAGGGGACAAACCTGGAACGCTCAAGACTGACTCTAGTCTGGGGGAATGAAGCTGGGAGTTGCAGGACTGTGAGCATCTAACATACTGTCTGAAGATTGCTGAGAGCAGTGGGTTGCTCCCAGACCAAAGCTGCTCTCTTTGTCCCAGGTGACAACAGTGCATCACCACCATGGCCTGAGAACCCCTTGTTCCAAAGTGCTGGGGCAGGCTCGCAGCATGCCCCATTGAGCTGCTGGACTCAGGATGAGTGAGGGTCACACTGAGACCACCAGCATCTTGAGCAGGAGACAGGCACCAGTGGGGTTGAGAGGACATTGTCCCAGTTCTCTCTTGCAGAACAGCCCTGGGACATCCCTCTTGGTCACCAGCCCCTCACCAGGTCAGAACCAGGCTGGGAACCAGGGATAGGGATGGGTACGGAGGAGTTGCATTCCTACCAGTGTAGCTGATGGCAATCTGAGAGGAGACGCGATGAGGCCCAGCCTGAGAAATGATCTCCACGTGGTATCGGGACCCTGGCACCAGCCCTTCCAGGTCAAGCTGGGTGACTCCGCGGGGGACAGACACATTCCTGATGATCGACAGGGTCTCAGCCACTGAGAGCTGTACCACATGGTCTCTGCCACCTCCTGACTCCACCCAGCTCACATGTAGATCCTGGGGTCTCCAACCAGGCTGTACACTCATATTAGCCACAGACAGTGGGTCTAGGGGGAAACACAGCATGAAGGTCCATGAGATGGTGGTGGAAAGCAACAGGAGAAGCCGGGACACAGCCTCTACCTCCGCACAGGGTTAAAGGAGAAGTGATAGCAGCTGATTGCCAGCTCTCCTGTTGTCCTGGGGGACATGCAAGTTGCCTGTGCATATTCTCAAGGTGCTGCCAGCAGGCAGGTGCTATATGGTGGTCTTTTTGTGCCCAGAAGCCAGCACACAGCACCTAAGTCATGACACATGCTCCAATTCCCAGAGGCAGGGAGCATGCAGGTCTCACCAGAACCCTCCATCCACCTGGAAATATCCATGACACTGCCAGTCTTTCAGGCAGTGCCATGATGCCCCATCCCTGCAGGAGCCTGGGGACATTTCTTACTCACATGTCCACTCACTGGCCAAGTATGATGAGGATCTGTATGGGCCAGTGAGGACGGTCACCTTCAGGAAGTACTGAATGCCAGGGGACAGCCCCAGGAACGTGAAGTTGCGGATGTTTGGCCCCACTGAGATGTTCCTCTGCACTGGATGGCTCTTGCTGTAGAGCTGGAGGTGGAACTGGTCCACATCACCAGCAGCCTTGTCCCAGAAGGCAGAGAGTCCCAGTGGGCGTCGAGTGCTGGTCAGGGTCACACCAGCCGGAGCCAGGGGGTCTGAGAGAGAAGAAACATCCAGGCAGTGAGAGGTGGTCATAGTGGAGCTGCTGTGGTGTGGAGTGGGGGCCTGCACATGCTTGTCCAGGTCACCCTCCACCAGCTGTCCCTGGTGGGCTCAGTTCACAAATCATCCCTGGCATATCAAACCCCTGAACGGCATGAGCTTCTGCTCCACAGAAAACATGGGAGCAGATCCCCACCTTTCCTGCCGGGTGATATTTGGAAACATTTTCTGTCCAGTGATGGGTTACTCCTGCACTGAAGACCCTTTTACTTCCAGCCTGGCTGAATGTGGATCTGGTTGCCCTTCCACTCTTTGTCTGTCTATGCATCCCTGCCCATGCTTCCCCCACCTCCCCATACATGGTCCACACTCTACCTTGCTTCCATGCCGTGAGCCTTCTGCTCTTGTTGGCAGGCCATGGTTGCAATCTGCAGTAGGGTTGAGGTAGGAGTATCATACTCACATGTCCAGTCTGTGACTGATTGCATGGGGGATCTGTAAGGTCCAGCCACGGCAGCTAACTCCAGTGTATACTGTCGACCAGGAACCAGATCCTCAAGGGTGACATTCGTCCAGTTGTTCCCCAGAGTCATGTTCCTGACTCGTTCCTGGGACTTGGTTTCCCAGAGGGTGCCTGTGTAGCCAGTGCTGCCAGTAGGAGCTGCTCTCCAGGAGGCTTGCAGAGAGGTGCTGCGGCCCTGATTCCTGAGGGTCAGCTGCTCTGGAGGCAAAGGATCTAAGAAAGGAAAGGTCTAGACTCACAGCTGCACCCAGAATGGGGTTCCCTGGCAGAAGTGCAACCCCCAATGTACTGGGGCTGGAGCTCCTTCCCTGGGAAAACCAACATCCAGGTGCTGTGGGCACTTGCGAGGTCCAAGCAGGCCACCGTCACCCCTGCTGCTATCCACACACCAGTTTGGCAGGGACTGGGCCAGCACAGAATTAAAACTGGTGTGGTAAGAGAGGACCGCTCTGGTACTAGAGGTGGTGGGTGGGATGGTCTGGACCAGGGCAGTGGAGAGGTCGTTCAAGGCGGATGCAGCCAGCCTGAACAGTGTCACAGGAGGACAGCCTGAGGGAGGAGGAGGGGTGCGCTGGGCTCTGCTGACCCTTGTATGGGATGATTTCAGATCCACACCATGGTCAGACACACCTAGCAGCACCTCTGCTTTCCTCCTCAGCCTTTTTCCCTTTTATTGCATGAAGCTCCAGAACACCCATGCTGTCATGTGCCCTGAGGCAGGGAAGGGCAAGATCCAGTGAGAACTCTGGGGCTGGCTGCAGTTGGGCTGTGGCACTCACATGTCCAGTTGGTGATGCGCAGGGGTGAGGATGTGTAGGGGCCAGCCACAGTGCTGACCTCAAAAGTGTAGAGGGTCCCAGGGCGGAGGCCTTCATAGGTGAAGTTGGTGACCCCTCGGAGCAGCGAGCTGTTCTTCATGGAGTGCTCCATGGGTCTGAGGGCCAGCACATAGCCCTGTCCCACTGCCTCCGCCCAGCTGGCGAGCAGGCTGTAGGGGCTCCCCCGGCTGGACAGACTCACAGCAGATGGTGCTAGTGGCTCTGCAAGGGACAAGGATGGGATGGTGGATGTCACTCTGTGGGGCAGTGTATCAGACAACCAAATCATTCTCATGACACTCTGCAGCAATCCCCCAACCAAACATGGGCAGCCAGGGCTGCAGGGAGAGCCTTTTACTGCTCTCAGCACCAGGGGCAGGGCGAGTGCCTCCCCACCCTGTTGAAGGCTCCAGTCCTTCCTTCCCAAGGTGGCAGGTCTGGGACAGCACCAACTGTGGCTCCAGAGTCACCCAGGAGGAGTTGGGCACAGGGAGATGCTGCTCTGGGTGGTGCTTCCCTCCCCACCGAACCAGCTGCTGTGAGCAAAGGAGGGGAAGCCGTCTTAAAGCCTGCCGACCACTGACTCCAAAGGCTGTTGAGTAGGATCTCACCTTGATTTGTGCCTGACACTACCTGGCACAAGTCTGACAAGGATCTCTGAGTCACCCTCTCGAGGAACTGCGGGGCAACAGATTTTGTTGCTCTGACCTGCAGTGTGTTCTTGAGACCAGGGGCTACTGCAGTGCCCCAACTCTGCTGCAATCCCCCTCCCCATCCCACCAGCTTCTCTCCAGGCATCAGCCCCTCTATCAGGTGGCAGAAATGACCTTGAAAGGACATGTTCCGTCTTTCTGCTTACGTGTCCAGGCTGCCGTGCTGCAGGCTGATGCCTGGTAAGGCCCAGCCACTGCTGTCACCTGGACAGAGTATTGCTTCCCGGGGCTCAGCCCATGGAAGGTGACATGACCGTTGTCTCCACTGACAGAGATGTTCCTTGTCAGAGCACCATCCTCTCCCTCCTGCAGTGTCACCACGTAGAAGTCCCTCTCTCCCTCTGGGGTGGTCCAGTGAGCCTGCAAGGAGCTCTGCTCTTCTGCTCTGCTCAGGGTCACATTGCCAGGGCTCAGGGGGTCTGGAAGGGAAAAGAAAGGGATTGTGTGTGTCAGAATTGTGGGGTACTCCGGACCTCATATGCCCCTGAGCCTCATTCCCTGTTTCCTTATCTGCAGGGTTACATCCAGCCTTAGACATCCTTTTGGAGTGTGCTGTCTCCACTCCCTAGCACAACCGTTCCTGGTCTAGCAGAGCCCAGACAAAGCTGGCAGCCCTGCTGGGAAATTACTAAAAGTCTCCCTCCTCTCCATTCATGTCCTGTCATGAGCTTGCTGATATTCCCAGGAACTGGCCTGGACCAAACTCCTAGCCAGATGCCCCTGGCTCGTGTCTGGGACCAGGCACTTTTGTTGAGCTGGGAAGGTTAGAGCTGCAGACGCAGCAACAGGGATTGTCAGACTCACTTCATAGCAGAAACAAAACAGCTGGCGGTGTGGAGGTCTTCCAAAATCCCAGCTGCAGCGTCAGCAGTGAGCGGTCTCCAGCCTCCCAGACTGGCAGGCAGAACAGGAAAGACCTGGAGATTTATCACCTGGTAGCATCCAGGTCCTTCCAGCATACGCCTGACCAGTGTCTCTGTCCAGGGCCAGGATGTGTCACTGGCCACAGCAGCCCTGAATTTGCAGCTTGGCACCTCTGTAATTTGTTGCTTCTCTCTAGGGAGGGCCAATGCTTTCACTGATGTGTTCAGCATCAGTCTTGCTCTGTCCAGGAGGCTAGGCTTGCCCTCTCTATTTCCTTGGTTTTCCTGGGAACACCTGGAAGAGCAAGACCAAGGCCAGAACTGTTTGCAGTGCTATGGACATGGTGTTGGCAGCAAATCAGGACTGTGGTGGCGGAATTCAAGCTCTGTCAGGGCCCTTTTCAGCCTGAGGACAGAAGGTGGAGGAAATGGGGTTGAATGGTGCAACTAGATGGGGTCTGGGAGGGCTGCCCTCAATTTCTTGACCTGCCAGAGGCTGGCTTCCTTGGCTGTGTTTGCACAGCATCTGGCACATTAGAGGCATCCACCAGGATGAGGTTATCAGGTGCAACCAAAATATAACCTTGACAGCAATCAAAGAGGATCAAAGATTCACCTCCCTCCAGAAACCAGTTCAGTCCCCACTGCACTGAACACCAGTGGGATCTGCTGCCCTTCCATCCTCTTCCTCAAGGAGAGGCCACAGGCTGATCCCAGTGCATCTGAATGAGAAGCAGGACAGCACTTGGAATTCACCCGCCCAGGTGACTCACTGGCCCCACTACTGCAGTGACCCAGAGCCAGGTCCTGGAGCAGCTTTCAGCCAGGTCCAAGCAGAAGAATTGCCTTCTGCACCCGGAGCTTTGATAGAAGACCTTTGGGTTCAGAGGCTGGACCAGAGGCTGGGAGAAAGCCAGGACCACCGAGGTTCTCCCCTCTCCCTGGCTGTCACACTCACATGTCCAAGCGGTGGCGTTGGGCCCCCTCATGGTGTAGGGCCCAGCCGTGGTGCTCAGCCCCAGCCAGTACTGGGTGCCGGGGTGGAGATGCTGGAACGTGTAGCTGGTGAGGCCCCTCCTGGCTGACAGGGTTGTGGTCACTGTCTGGGTATGGAGGTTGCGGAGCACGAGTTTCAGCCAGGCGGCCCCTGCAGCACCCACCCAGGAGGCGACGAGGCTGGTGCTGGATCCCGGGCTGATCCTCAGCTGGGTGGGGATGGAGGGAGCTGAGGGGAAAAGCAGGAGGCAGCAAGGTTCAGCACTATGGCTGGAGCTCCCCAGACCCTCCTCTCTCCTCAGGGTCTCCTACGCCCACAGCTTCTCTCTAGTCTGGCATGGGGGCTGAAGGTCTAGCAGGGGTCTGCTGAGGGATGTCTCTCCCATGTCCCTTCCCAGCTGAGTTGAGGGGCTCTTGAGGTCACACCATAGTGTCACGCTCTTTCAGGCTACAAGGCAGAGTGTTGTAGTGTTGCAGGTAATGCAACATTTTTGCATCTCCCACCAGCCAAAATCTTTTGCCAGGATCCCCAGATTTCCCTTCTCCCATGGGGACATGGAGCACACCATGCAAGGCGGGACTGAGGTGTGAGGTTTTCTCCTCGGCCCAGCATGCTGGGCTCACAGCAGAGATGTGAAAAACTCCCAGCTGTTCCCCATCCTACAAAAATTCACCATCCCAAGTCAGGAGACGTCCTCTCCCTCTCTGCCATCCCAGTCAGCACTTGTGCTGCACCCCTCCTGCCAAACCCTTTCTCTCACTCCTTCCCTCTTGGGCAGGCATCCCAATCACTCCCTACCTGTCCACTGGTGGATACTGGTGCTCGCCTGGCCAGATCCAGCCAGCGTGCTGACCTTCAAGGCGTACTCGCTGCCAGGCAGCAACCCATCAAACAGGAACGTGGAGGTGTTTGGCAGGATGGACATATTTCTGACGAGTGTTTGAGAGTCACTGTGGTAGAGGGAGAGGTGGTAGCCATCTCGCTGCCCGTGGCCGTGCATCCAGGAGGCACGCAGCAGGGCAGAGCTCCCACCGCTGCTCAGACTCAGGTTGCGGACAGGTGAAGGACCTGCATCGGACATGGCACAGGCAGTGTCAGGTGGTTGTCTGGTGATGCCTGAGGTTGCTCAAGGGCTGATGGGACAGTGCCTTCACATGGTGAAGTCCTGTCAGCCAGCTCCACAGGATCCCCCCAGCACAGCCGCATTAACCTCCCTGCCAGCTCACCAGTCTCCCATGGCTGAGTGGCTGCACCATCCCCTTGGCATCAGTCTCTGCACAGTCACTCTGAACTGGGCAGGGGGGCTCAGACAGAGACAACACACCAGGTAAACACTGAGGAAGGTGAAGCCATTCGAGCTTACCTGTGAGCTCAACAGGTGCAACGGCCCTGTGGTTCCTGCCATCTGCCTTCCTGTAAGCACCAGCCCCTGCTCCCTGCAGTCATTACTGTCACTGGCCGGCCCCCTCCCTCCAGCTGTACTCTCCTTTTCTAGGTTTTCCACCTTCACCTGCACCTGCACTGATTTACTCAAAATCTTCGGGAGAGATGCAGGCAAAGGCTGCCATCTTCAACTGAGATGTGGGCTTACCAGCCTTGCCCCCTTTTCCCAGCCCCTGGCATCAGCCAGGGAGGGCACATAGCCCAGCCTGGCGGGTGAGACAGTGATTGGCAGAGATGTGTCAGAATCAGGGAGATGCTAATTGCTCATCTCTGTTGTTCACAACATAAGTTGGTCCATTATTAGCTATATTATTCCAGGACAAGATACAGCATAACCCTGCCCATGCAAGGTGAAGGTACAAGACCCTCCCTCCACATGGATGAGAGAATGACCCCTGGGCTCTGGAGACCAGAGAATGACCTTAATACTTGTTGAAGTGAGGAGAGGCCCAACCTCCGCACGAACTCAGGGGACTCTATACAGACCTTTACTTCACACCCTTCAATGCAATGTGATAATCACTGCTAGAAGCACTGAGACCCTTTGAATCTGCAGTCCCTAGGGAACCTCTTACTTGTCTGTGCTGTGACTGTCTGGCTGGCGGTCTCCATGCAGGCAAGCGTGGCTGTCACCTCAATCTCATAGCGCATGCCAGGAGTCAGCCCGTGGAACCAGAAGCTGGTGATGTTAGGTCCGGCAGATCCATTCTGTAGCAGCATGCCTGACCTCAGGGAGGAGAGGGTGAGCGAATATCCCTTGGCACCCTGCTCTGGCTCATCCCAGGACAGAAGGAGGGAGTTCGACCGGCCATGGTCACTCACGCTGAGATTCAGGAGGGTCCCTGAAGAGGCAAAGCCAAAACCCTCAACAGGGAGTCTGGCCCCAAACTGGAGGGCCAGGCTCCCCAGCCCACCAACCCTCACTTCACACCTTGGCACAGTCCACCACCATGGGGACTGCCCTGCTTTGGTCAGGTCCCCAACCCCAAGGGCTCTGAACAGCCTTTGGAAAACAAGAAGGTTCAGAAACCCCCATGGACTGGTGTCAAAGGCACCACATGAAAGAGATCTAGGCATGGAGTATCTCCTCTGTTGGAGAAAGACCAAAAGGCTTCAGGCCATCACACATTTTGCCCAGAAAGGCCTGGTACAATCCCCTGCTCACCATCTTGGTTGGTTTGAGCCCCCAAAAAGATGCTGAAGAGCTCTGGGTCCACCTTGCAGAAACAAGACAATGGCCAGTGAAGGGGCAGGATGATAAGGCAGTGGGGCTGTTATGCTCCCTGTAATAGTCCCTGTCCCTGTGTGGGCTCAGACAGAGGAGAGGATGAAGGCTGCTTTGGAGGGATACAGGCATTGAGTCGCCACTCTCCTGCCCAGTGCAGAGATGACATGGGAAGAGCAGGACACTGTGTACATGGAAGAAATGTGGGTCCATATTTGCACAGCCCCCTGCTGAGGTGTGTCCCTGCCTTGGCCAGCAACAATGTCAGCACACTGCAGCTGCAGTGACATTTTAACTGCTGTGAAATCCAGATGGAAAGCAACTGGGGACAAAGAAGTGACATATGGGGCTTGGCTTAATTGGTGGGTCAGTGTCCAAACTGCTATTGAATCCCTGCCCTTAGTGTTGCACAAGAACCACCTACACAAACAAGAGCCAGACAGAGGCTGTCTATTGGGACGAAGTTGGCAACACAAACCTTGCAGGCTCTGTCTCTGCCTCCCCATGCCACCAGCAGACCATCACACATTCCCCATCCCCAGCCTTGCTGTGAACGATGAGCTCTCTATTGCTTTCAGCCTTCGTGAAACTCCAGAACAGCTCTAATACTAGTAAGACATTTATGTAATAATTAGCACTTAAAATTTATGATGTGCAAACATGTTGTAACAGGCTTACGTGTGATCTGACACGGCAAGAAAGCTTTGAACAAGCACAGCTTGTGTGTCCCGGGGGCTATCTTTATGCAGCAAAAGAGGAGCAGTGTGTGGTGAGTACCAGGGGCAGGGGCATCTTTGGGACTGCTCAGGTGTTGTGTGGGACCTTCCCACAAAGCTGGGCAGTGTCAGAAGTACATGCAATTTCTGTTTCATGCAATGCCATTGTTTGGAGCCTGCAGCCATGCTGAGAGCTTCACTCTGCAGATGAGTGCAAAAGGAACATGAGCACAGGCCATGGCTCATCTCCTCCTGAAGACAGCCAGCATGATTGTGCTGTGTGGATATCAAACAGAGATGTTTTTTCACTGTGGACTCTTTCTTATCATCTCATGAAGGTACGAGTTCTCCACCCATGTTTGTCTGCTCTCTCAGTTTTCCAAAAGACTGCACCACCCACCTCCATCTGACACTGGGAAGACAGGGATGGAGTAGAATAAACCCCTCATAATCC